ACAGGCGGACGCCTACACGCAGACGCTGGCGAATAACGATGGCGGCGGCTCCGGTGTAGGCGCAATATCTCATGGCAAGTGAGTTCTGAATTCCGTTTAGAGAAAAGGTGTTTGGAGACGGCGGTTGTACCTATTTGGTTTAAGTAGATGCTTGCTATTGTAGCCCTCCAGTTTACTAATCTCACAACCTATGAAATGTATTCTTCGATTTGCTTTCAAGGTAATAATTAAAAAAGCCAACTGTCGACTAATTTTCCCCTGCGTATAAGTGAAAGGAGGAAATGTCTTGGACTGCAGTTAGTGAAAAGTTTAGTTGGTGAATTCATTTTGGGTTTGCATCTTCATAACGCCCACAATGCTGTATTCAACTCTGCTAAATACCCATATGACTAGATGAGTGCTCTTTTAATTGTACCATCTAGCAGAAAAAATTTAGTTGGAATATTTAAAATGTTAAATTTCCTCAAGGGCATGGAAGTGTTTAGATTGTAACCCAATACTGAAGTGTAGCGAAGATGAATTCAATGGGGTAAAGGTGGGGGGGGGGGGGGGGCGTGAAAACTGACCGAATCCCACTTCATTTGGCGTCCATCATCGTCTACGAAGTAAACATGTTGTTATGGCATTGTTAAATGAGCAGCTAAAATTCATCCTATATATCTTAAACTTGGGTTTAGTCTCGCTTTTGCACATATTCCAATTTCCCTCCTTTAAGACTTCCCCCATTTCAACGATTCACTCCATCCTCACGTAATAGTGTTTTATTCAGCCCACTGTCATTATTTTAGCAGCGGTCAGTATTCATTATCACCAGTGGTGAATGCTCCTCCGAGGGAGATGGACGTGGATTTTGTATTGCCTTCTGCCTCCTCTGCCGTCGCCGCACTTCCTGCAGCTGACTCCAGGACGGACAGCACCAGTCATCAGGCGTAAGGTCACAGAGCTTTTCATTGCTTTCAAGCGCGCCAATGTCCTCATACTTTGAAAATTCTCCTACACTATAGGGGCAAAGTTTTCAGCAGTTTGATTAAAAAAGAAAGTATAACGACGGACTAATCAAAAACTCAAGCAACTAGTACCATGAGGGGTGTTTTCCCGATTTACCGATGGTGGTGAAATCTTAGATGAGTCATTCTCAATATCTGATTGTGCTGTGTGCTATCCCACAGTGCCTCTGCAAGGTGGGATTCCTTAAGAGGAGGCTCTGTCGCTAATTGAAGTCTCCAGTTGTCTATTCTCATTTCAGATGAAGAAGTCCCGTCACAGGACCGATGTGTCAAAGCGCCACCGATACCAGTCTAGTCTTTCATGTGTACTTTTCTTCCCAGTATTGGAACTCGAACCTCCCCTTCTTCCCTCCGTCTACGCACATATCACCAGACCACGTCCCTCCGACCTCTACCTCTTTACGTGACAAAATTGCATCTTTACATTTGCGTACACATACATCATATGGCGCCATATGCAGACCAGTGGGAGGCAGACGTGTTTCCTTCTTTTTTTGAATAACTTGGTCTCCGTCTCCCCCTTCGAGTCTTAAAATTGTAATTAGCGTTATGCTAATTGGTAATATATGTATGCGAATTTTCTCTACTCCCTCTACCCTTTCTTACGTCAAATAATTCGTGTCTCTATGCAAAGGAAGAGGAGCTTCATTTGTGCCTCATGTTAAGAGACAGTTTATTCTTGCAAATAAATGAAGGTGCATGGGATAAGGTCTATTTGTAGTTAGGGCAGTACTCCATCACAGAAAGTAAGGCTTGGGTTGCAGCAGTCGGGATTCAGTGGTCGACACTCACGACGATTGAAGGAGTCGAGTGCCTACAGCGAAAAATCATGCAGTGTTACTACTAACAACGGGTAACTTCAGTTCTGTGATCACCAATCTTATTAAGAAGGATTAGAAGTTTTGAAGGGCGCTTGATTAGACTTGCCTCGAAGTAGCCGCATGGATAGACTCGACTGGGACTGTAGCATCTGGCAAAATGGTGGACAACGCAGGGCTCCTGTGGGATGCATTTGTGACTGTTCCACTTGACGGAAGGCACATGACCTGATAGAGTTTCCAAGGCAGAATCTCATATGACGTGGGAAGGGGAAATTTCAATGTAAAGTTTTGTAGAAGGTGTTTGGAAGATAAGCCAGTTGTTAGTTTTAGTGAGATGATTGTAGCTTTATGTTTGAGTTATTGAACTATCCAAAGCCTACGATGAAACGACAGCGTGCGTGTTAGGCATACAAGTGACTTCAACAGATAACAATATCAACATTTGTGGCATGCAAAAAACGACATAGGGAAGGAGAAATGCTACTGGAAGTATAATTTGGAATAATGAATCAAAATAACGGAGTGTAAGTACTCTTGGAAAACAATCGCAAATTTATTTTAAAGGGAATAGCATCCGGTCAATGCAAACGCGCAAAGTGCTTACAAAGCATGTGTCTAAATGACGTGAGATTAAATCGTGAGTAACCTCATAAACGAACTACAATTTAGGAATATCTAAAATTCACCCTAAAATAACAGGCTCATGTTAAATGCCAATTTTAAGATGATATATGTCGTTTCGATTTTTCCATTCATTTAGCTTGCAAAATATGGTTAAATTCACTTTAGTGCCTTCAGAGAACTAAGATTATGATGCATAGTTTGCTGTAACGATAAACCATTTCATTTTTGACATAGGTTTTGGGCCATAATCCTATGACAATTACTTTGCAAAAAAACTCAGAAAAATTTGCTGCACAAATGACCAACTAGAGGGGGTTGGAATGATTTGAACGACGTAATGAGGAAACTATGAAACATTTGAGCAATATTAATAGTACTTTTGGTTGATAATACTTCTAATGACATTAACGCACTCCTGCACTTGTCTTGATTATGATTGAGACTGATATAGTTGTTTTCACGTTGAATGTCGATGGCATCACGGAGAGTGCACGGTGGTAGGGAGCGATGTCGCTGGTAGGTCTGCCATCGCCTCTCTGAGGGTATATAATAGCCAAACTGAAAGTAATGCGACTTCAGGCCACTCTCACGGTAGTTGTACTCGGGAATCTCAATGCGCCATTGACGATTTTGGGCTCTGAGTGAATATGACTGACCGGCTGCTGTCATCTCCACGTATATCCCTGACAACAAACAAGACAGTAACAGAAAAAATCACTAATGGAAGACATGAGAACATATGGACACGAACACGGCCCTAAATTGCCAGAAGCCAAGTCCATTGCTTTATAATGTAATAAGGGTGGGTTTTTTAAGAATTAATGACGTGAACAATTGCAGGCAGATATTGAAATAAGTAGATCATTTGGAATATATAAAGCTAAATAATGTATAAAGAATTTAACACATCCGTATTGACAAATGGGATTTTGCAACATGGTTAATCGACCTTAATTTATGGTATTTAAGTGTAATTCATTTAGGATTTCTGGTCATTGTAACAGATTGACGTGCTTAATAAGTACAAAAAGAAAATGCCAAATCAATTAACATAGGTGGGGACGACTAAACACGTTTAAGTGTGACGACCTGGTAAAGGTTGCAATCGTATTGGAGGAATTAAATCGGTTTACGCCGTTTAGGGGGCATATAAACGCTAAAAATGGAGCTGCATATATAAATTACGAAACGGATGTGAGCTTCAATGATAAAACTAGATAAACTAAAGCCTTGTACCAAAGAAGAATCAGTAATTTGCCAGCATTTGTGCAACTATGGGTTCAATATAGGCAGAATATGGGACATAAGTACAACTGCATTCTAGATTTTACACGCACAATGATAAAAAGAAATCCCAATTATAGTCACCAATTGAGCACAAAATTTTAACAGATACTTATATTTGTTGTATTAAACAGTTGTTATAAGGGTTTTTTCCAAAAATCCCTCGGAATTCTTGTCTGGAAGAGCTCTGAATTTGTGCCCAACGTAGACGATTAAACTCAAAAAGTGTGACTTCTGTCTGCGTAAAAGTTTTGTTATAATCGCTCTTTTCAAGGGTGCGAATAGCATGGCTGATAGAGTTTTGGTAGCAAAAGGGATAAACAGTTAGAGATAGCGGTATCACATGATAGTTTTCAACTACTTGCCTTTAGACAGTATAAAACAAATCGTTGCATGATTTTGATCAACTTCTTTTCAAAAGCAGTTTTATAGGCTAGCAGTGTTTTAAAATTATAGTAGTTGTGCAATTATATTTTGCTATTTCCCTATGAAGGGAATTTGGAAGCTTCAGCCTAATAAACATTCAATTGGGTAACAGGAGTAGCTGTTTTGCGAAATAAAGAAAGCTTGGTTTTAGTCAAGTTGGTAACTGCATTCGACAGTCAGTTTTCTTTTTGCTTTTTCCTAAAACACTTTTTGTGTCGTGATATTGATGAAGTATCTCACGCTCAAGTAAATGACTAGAATCGCTTGCTACTCTCATAATAGCGATATTTATTAAGTTTTGACTTAGAATGAAGTGATGCAAGATCCGTACGATGTCACCTTGTCCGAGAATGCAATCGATTATATGTGAATAAGGTGGAACTGACGGGGTCATTAGTGTGTGGGATACATCCTTGATAGGGTGGTTTAATGCCGAATGTCTTCCTTCGAAACCATTTAAAACAAAAGACTTAGTCAGTTCTGAGATGTTCTCTTCCAAGTAATCCGGTCTTTTGATAATCTTGATTAGTGACAATTATACTGCATTCTTTCCTCGTAGTGCACTTTTGTCAATGAAATCTCATCAGATTTATAATGCAATCGTTCAGTCTATGGCATTTCGGTTTTCCCACCTGACATATGCAGGCGGGTGCTTGTATGCCGTGCTCCACAAAGAATGGTGTCTTCTGTGTAAATCGCCAAAGTTAATTTTAATTTTGTAAAATGAAATCATTTCCAGCTTATTTAGCCACATTAAATAGCCGCATTCGCTTCGACGCATGTCTTGAAATTTTCGATTTAGCAGGATTGGTCGTACTTTAAATCTGGTGCTATAAAGTAAATTGTTACTATCTTCACCCGAGCAGTACGACCCATACTCCAGCAATGGTTCAAATGTAGCATCCTGAGACTTCCCTGAAGACGAAAGAAGACACAATACTCGGGCAGAATATGTATTCAGCACAGCGAAGGTGTCTGAGCTATTGGCATGGCCCGAAGGCCAGCCCGCCCAGCAAGGTACAAGAAGGCTAATTCAAAGGCACAAAAGTGGCGCCTCACCAATACCGGGGGATAAACCACCATTTTATCGTACAAAAACTCCTGCATCTACTTGAGATGATGTGCCACACACTGAAAGCAGGGTGTTGTCATAAGTGAAAATTTAAGAAAGTTTTTGTGTTTACACAAGTAGTGGAGCAGTCTTTCTGGAAATGAATAGGTTGATGTGAATATTTCTTAAATTTTGCGATGACATTAGTTTAATGGGATTAGCTGTGCTAGTGCATGCAACTAGTAAAACATGGTAATCAGGCGGTTTCTACTATGCTAAAACTAAATTACATGGTAAAGTAAATATGAAGAGCGAAAAGAATTATCACAGGTAAGCGATTTTATCGCAGAGACTGCGGGGGCAGAGGCAAATGCTCATATGCAGCGCCTCGGATCATCCTTGAAGGTCACTTGGACGGTCATGACAGCAAGGTGAGCGTAGAAACAGCAGCTTGAGGAATTCGCATAGTTAAATACATTCTAGAAAAATGTTTTCACTAGTATGCGTCAAGCCCATCGTACGTGATTTTTTGCTGTGTTTAGAAGGCGAGAGCCGGATATTGGGTTGTAGGTTTGTAGGATGGGTTGTGTGTGACTTCAACGCTGGGGGGGGGAGGTCAGTTAATTAATCATGTAGGTGGTCAGACCGAGATTATGTGACCTGGTACCAGCATGGTAACACGTTCAGTGAATAAATCTCCGACTGAAGCTGTGGCTATAGGCCAGCACATTAATGCCGGCACCATCAAATGGCGACACCTTAGAAAAAGGAGTTAACTACCACTGTTCTTACAATAACACTGACGTCAACCATAAAAACCCGCTTATATAAAATGAATAATAATCATTGTGCGAAAAATCACCCCCATTTTCTTTAATAATCGACCAAAAAAGTCTCATCAGGTCACAGTAATCAGCTATTGGACAGGCATTGGCGTAGCCCCACAGATTCCATTCCAACAGCCAATGGGTTTCATGATTTCACTTGTTAAGGTCATGGCAAGACTGAAGGTGCCCTAGAGCGCCCACCAGCATCCACAGCCAAATTGTCTCAACGCGTCATTTTGGGGACAACAAGCACAACCCAGCTAGGTCTCGACCTCAGTATCGTAAGAATGCGTGAATCGACTACTTGCCCCCCCACTGCTTGGTATTACTTTTGTTTATCAACTTTACTCATAGTTCCCATTTGTGATGATGTACGACTAAGAATTTTTTTATATCTGGATCCTTTCACTGTGCTCCAATGCAAATTTGACTGACTTTCGAGGGCATCCAACACATCGTTAACTAAAGTATGGGCGAATAGGATCTGATTAGTCCAAAGGTAGTGTCATAACAGCACCGTCATAATACCGTTTGGATGGTGGCTTAATTTTATAGGCTTTCTACACACGCCCATGGATGAATCACCAAAACCTCCGCTGTGTTTCTCGCTTCGGAGCAAATCTCACCATTAAACCGGCTCATCAGGGTTAAATTAGATTCTGGACACCATTAGGGAAAGCCAACATGCTGAACCGATCATGCATGATCCCAAGCTCGCACTTACACCATGTACTCGTTCAAGAGAAGTATTTTAGAACAAATAACTCCTTATACAAAAACAAAAAGACGAGAAGGTGACCGATGAAGAAACCAACAGCTGAGTATTGAATAAAAGAAGTTTGTACTAAAATCCGACAATTTGTTACCTCGATCCAGCCCTAGAAACAGGACTTCGTAAGCAGCTTTGCTACCTACACACAGAAGGGCTGGGGGGCCTGGTGCTGGGAGGGGAGCTCTGCACTATCGACGTGGAGGTCGGTTTATGTTTGACACACTACTCAAAACCACTGGTGTCCAACTTAATTTGAATCGAGGTCGGACAAGTTAGCTGGATATGAATCACAATTCCGGAATGCAGGTTCGTCGTATGTCTGAAAGGGAGGTGAACTGTCCTACCTAGAAAATGAATTGATGGTGCATTGGACATTAGAAACCTGCCTTAACAGACACCGCAGACTGGATAATCGTGTCTGGACATGAGTCGACCTCAAAAATATCGCGTTAAGCGAAAGTGCCTCTCTCCTCCCCCCCCCCCCTTAATCAGGACCGTTCTAGGGGAGAAAGTACAAGTGGGGTCGACACCGCGGCCTGCCCATCACACAACATGATCCAAACAAAGCCTCCCCCTATCGCATCGGCTCCGCTTCACAGTGAAGAAGGGATGGGTGACAAACTGAATAAACCACATCGGCGAAACGGAGTGCGGGAGGACGTCCTGCCGGATTTGACGAGATGGTGACTCATTCCGCGAAAGGCACTGAGAGCAGCCTGCCTCAGGAAGGCTGCGATATGAAACTGCTCCCAAGCCTTGCTGGTAGACCTCCATGACGCAGACGTACTACTTAAAAAAAGCATCACCGCAACTGACAATAAAAAAAAACAGGGCTGCTCAAAAAGAAAACACATTGTCCTCCGCATCACATAAGCATAAGTTAACAAACATGTCAAGCAGTCGCAGACAGCTCACTCAAAAAGGCACTCCAATTTGTCCACAAAGGGATTCCAAACCAAAATACAACATGTGCAAGAGGTATTTTTTCAATGTGAATGCAAAATAGTGCGATTACACCAAACGCTACAGCGAAACGTCAGTCTGAAAATTCTCTTGTTGGCTTTGGTGTTTCTGTTCATACAAAAAAGATTGGGAATTACCACAGAGACTTCATAGAGGCTATAATACAGGTGTACAATGCGTAGTAGACGAAAGTGTCAGTGCTGGATGAAATGGTAAATAATAATGTCAAAGGATTCCCTGAAATCGCTGCGGCATCCTATTTTGATGCTTCAGTCCGCTAATAACAGAAATGCCATCTGTCTGTGTGGTTCTCTAGGTATACAAAAGGAGTATGACAAGAAGTTAAGAACCTCCAGATGGAGCTCATTTGAGCACTAGAGTTAGACAAATCTGCACTTCATAAACTCCCCGCATTGCTATCAGGGGGGGGAGTGGGCCGTTTTTGAGCGGGAGGATTGGTGGAGGATGAAGAAGGATCGAGCGCATTGCCACCCGAGTGAGGTCGGCCATATCTCGCCCGAGGGGTAACCGGTGGAGAAGTTTTCACGCTCGACGATTCACCGGACGGAGTCAATAGTGCATCGTGCAGTGCTTCGCCTGTAGAAAGTTCAAACAGCCGTGTCGAATACCCCCAGTGTCAGCAACAGTAAGGGTGAGTCGTACAGCAGACTTACGCTTTCGCACCACCTCAGCCTCATTCCCATAATCTTGGCTGATGTGAACATGAAGGGGTTGGCTGGATTCACCTTTGTTTGCCACGTTCACGCTGGTGTCGGGTGAGAGGTTAGTTAGAGTACGATCAAGATCTTCCGTCGTGTCCTGAGTTTCCTTTCGCCGAGCTGCATTCCCAGCGGAGTAGAAGGAGAGGAATTCAGTAGGAGAGCTGGGTGGAATTTCCGGCGGGCAGGGTGAAGAGCCAAGACGGGGGAGGTTATCATAGTCGAAGGGATCTGCATCACCTCCGTCAGTTTCGAAAGATGAGGTTGGCCGCACCACATTTGGTCGCTTCAGAGTCTAAATTTAGGGGGGAAAAATATTTGCATGATCACACAGTTCATCAACGTTTCCGAACTGAAACATTAATACAAGTACCCCACCTGCCACGAAGACCGGCCTGAAGGAGCGGTCTCACCACCCATCGAAGTCGAAGGTAACCTAGGCGATGCCTGACCAGGAGTTGCTGGACTCATGACATTAAAACTGCTGTAGCGACTAGGATAGTAGCCGGTGTTAGATTGCACAGGAGCGCCTGGGGCAGGTAGGGAAGCAGAGGAAACAGTAGCACGGTGTTGGTAACGCGTTTCGTAGCCCCCCGTGCTTTGAGATCCGCTGGACAGACTGAAAAAGTTCATATGCTTCGTCGGGCTTACGCCGCCCAGGTGGACTCGGACCTGGTAGAAAAAAGAACCCGGACGTTAAGCTATGCTACTAACGTCCTTTCCGGGGTGGCGAGAGTAAGGCAATAAATTATGCCAGGAATGATGGGAAGATGCGTGTGCCTTTCGGGTGGGTTTATCCAATTGCACAGGTAAGCCCCAACCTGACAGTGTGTTTATAAAAAATGCCCAAATTTAATTTATAAACCTTTGCGGGGACGATGTGACTCACCACCACCACCAGCGCCGCCACCAAGGCAAACTGGGAGAAGCATGCATAAAAAGATGACTAACAAAGTTGACCTAGTAAGATGAAAGTTGCAAGACATCAACGCCGCAACTGATTTTATCACCCCAGCTCACTTCAGAAGCAGGTGCTGAATAAAGTGCTAGGGCAAAAGTTATTTCAGAGGGTCATTTGTAAATCTAAAAAAAGAGATCCTAGTAAGATATCAATGACGGCTTACTATCAAGACAGTGGTTTTAAGCGCACCAGTAGGTTTTATAAATAATTCACAGGCGGAGAGTGGAGACCAGGTTCCAAAAAAAGCCATAAATGATAACGTGGGACAGACACAAATCCGAAGGGTATCTCCTGCGTACCTGCGCACACATGCAAACGCAAACACGAAGTGTTGGGTGAGTGGGTGGGAATGGGAACAAATTCACACCACCAGTCGGCCGAGGACAGAAACGGGGGCGCAAATGAGGGCCAGGCCGCTGCGCCACTACCCAAACCTATCTCATTCCGTTATCCCCCCAACTCACAGCAGCACTCTTACAGTGGGCGTCAGAGAAGGAAAGGAAGACTTACTGTGGGTTCATGAGCTCCGGGAGCATCGATTGGCAACTGGGTGGTCGGATGTTTGTAAGGAATAGCAGCATAGGGACTGCGACCACTGGCTATTGGAGGAGCTGGGGGCTGTGTCTGGAGGGAACTAGACGGGTCAGTGGTCTGAGGAACGAAAGTACCACCTGCGCCGTAGGAGGCGTACGAACCAGACGCCTCCAGACCGCGATTGGGATAGGGTGTGGTTGGAGTCGAAGCACAGTAATTGCTGGTACACGTTACTGGGGTCAAGTAGGAGGCAGGGTTCTCGGAGAAGCTGGTAAGATACAATGAAAGCAAGGTTAATATCACATATGCAAGTGCTGCTAAGACTAGAATAATTAGGGGGGGGGGGGGATTTAAACTACCTCGTTCGCCTTTGATCTGTGGAGGAATGCGCGTAGGGTTGCTGCTGATGTCGTTGGTTGAGATAAGCTGGTGTGCCAGGATAGGCGTCAGTCGATGGTGTGACTGGAAGCGCAGGCTTTGTAGCTGAGGTTTGGAGCGCTGAGCTTGAGGTAGATGTAAACTAAAATCAACAGAAAACGTAAATGATGTTGGTCTGTTTCTCATCTTATACTAAATTACAGGTTATGAAGCAGGAGATTGCAAAGAATAAGTACCCCAAAGTAATGTATAATTGACTCGGTTTAAGGCCAGGGCTAAAAGGACAGACGAAACAGTGAGAAGTTACCTACCAGCGCAACTGGCATCCGCCTTTGGAAAGCATTTTTAAGCAAATAAAATAAAATTCCCGAAAACATAATAACCATTCCTTAAGAGAGAGGCAAACGGCTACTTTAGATAGAAATCACTTAGATGCGTTTAACCCGGCCCCAGCTCAAGCACAGGTTCAGGAGGCAGTCATTTTAGGCGTGAAAGCCCAAATTATGCCCTCCGCGAGGGTAAACACAGAGGGCTATCTGGGTGCAAGACAGCATTATTCACGCTAGCATACATGTAGCCTGCCCAAAACCACAGCACGTAAACAGCGCTGACCAAGGTCTTACCTGAGTTAGAGAAAAAGGATAATGTGATGAGGGAGATATTTGATAGGCTGACACTGGCACAGCACCAGCAACAGTGATGGCTGGGGTACGATAGGGAAGGGTGCCACCACCAGCACCGCCCATTTGGTTCACCATTGCCGTCGTCACTGGAGGTGTTTGAGAGTGCGACGACGAAGCTGTGCTACCAGCGCTGTTTACACGCCCTGCTGGTGAATGATTGTTTCTCACACTTGCCATATCCACACTAGAAGATTGATTCTGTTCGGTCTCTGAAAATCGAGTTCATTTGGAGTTAAATGAACATAGACAAACGGGACGCAAGCAAGTAAAGGTTTGGCGAAGACAAACCTTCCTTTTTTAGAAAACCATCCTTTCTTGGAACAATAGGTGATGACCGAGGTGTCGACGGCTTGAGAGCAGTAGCAGCAGCATTTTCGGAAAATTGGGAATAAGATTCGAGAGATTGTCTGTACATTTGTCCATACATGCCTAGGTGAGGACCACGACTACGACATTACAGACTAATCGAGTGTAGATGCAAAAACATTCGAGTGGAAAAAGACCTACCTTTCTGAAGTGCTTCAGCAAAGGCTCCAGCAGCAGCTGTAGAGGGAGTAAGAAGGATGTTTGAAAGACTGGAAGAGGCTGTGGTGGCAGAGGGGTTGGCGGAGCTGTTGGCAAGGTGAGCAATGAGTGCAAAGGCGTGTCTAGAATGCGCGGTAACATATCGGTCGGAGACAAGGTGTTGAGCAAAGTGGAGCAGTGAAGTGAATTCAGTGCCGAGAACGGTGCGAGCATAGTCGAGAATGATTCGACCCACGTCGGCCAGAATAGGCCCAGTGACACCAAGGACTGTGCGCACCTCGTCGGTGAGCCAGGCGAGTGGCAACTCACCGCGTTGGCAGAGACGCTGCTCATCGGTAGAGGAGACGGAGGATGAACCGCTACGAAAGTTGTTGGAGGCAGGTGGAGCGGAGAGCTCTAATGTCAAATCGGGAAGGGAGGGTGCCTGAACCTCAAGCTTCTTTCGCATACCTCCATAGCAGTACCTGGAATCCAATTGGTAGAACAGGCGTCAATAAGTCCGTAATAAGATCTTTGAGGCACAAACTTCCCCCAAGGGAAAACTCAAACCAAATGACCGTACTATTTAAGTACCTCGTCACATCCCCCGAATAAACAAAGGTATGCCCATGATTCCCATAGAATAGCCATAAGAGGAGGGGAGGAAAGTCTGAAAATTCGTGGAATGATGAATGCATAGGTGGGTAGGCGGAAGGACGGTTAGGTTCGTAATTCAGCCTTTGTCTGAAAAGGGTGTGTGCGCAGACGCAAATTAACCCCTACCACCACCTCTACAAGTACCGAGATATGCTTCCCGTGTGCGCGCCCACACACATAAACAGATTCTCATGTCACCAAGTTGGGCAGTGACATGGGTTCCCCTCCCACCCAGACACAATGTATCGAAATAAAGTGACAAACAGCTTGAAATCAGACTTATGGTCCGAAATCTATCCTACTAATGTAGCATGTATCTATAACGCTGCTAGAGGTACAGTGGGTTCAATCAGCTTTGAAGTAGGACTCTCCGCGAAATAGTAAATTTACCGTTCAGCACAAATGATATTAATGAGGACGGGGGATTACAAATACGATGGAAAAGTTCCACAGTAAAACAATCCTCACTGCATAAAACGAGTTCCCTCAAGGAGATAAAACTGCGAAATAAATGTCCTAGCGAAAAGCGTCGTAGACATACGTTCGATAGCCGGTATTGATGAATAAAACTGCCTACTACACATCGTCTGAAAGGGGACAATAAGCCAATCTCTATGAATCGGGGTGGCGGAATTGATGAGTGGAATCAGAATCGCAATTAATACATTTACGGACACAATACCTCACTACTTCTGAAGGGGCAAATGAAGAGGTCGCTGTATAAAGAAACTAATTTCAAATGTGAAATAGCTAACAGAAAGACACCCAGGAAAGACGGAAACTAGATGAGGGATCATGTATATGGGATGCCCAAATGTTTATATGAGAGGAGCACCTCAGAAGTTCTATCAATCAAGGTTGCATGTGGTTAGACAACAGCAAAACCTCCCGGCACCCGATAAACTATTTACTCATGAAGCCGCAAGTCTTTTGATGTAGTTTGAGCATACCATTCATTGACAAATGAGACATACCTAGACTGACCCCTTTGTCCTAGTCGCCGAGGTCTAACATTAGGAAACGCTCGTTTCATCACCTTCCCAAAATCCGCCGTATTGAGGGTTTTCTGATTGTGCTTCTCACAATACGCCCTATATTGCAACGAAAGATTTCAAAGGTATGCGAAAACTAAGTAAATATGTTATCTGTAGGATGGATAAATTTAAAGACATGAAGTCGAAAAAATAGCACCAAATCGATTTCCACGCATCGAAACATGGAATAAATCAACCATGACCAAGCAACCAAGAAGTAATAAAACACAGTGTAAAAACCCAGGAATAACAAAACTATCCACGTTACCTGTAGTCTTCATACACTTCATCTTTCCTAAGACAAGTTGAAGCATCCTCCTCCAGATGAGACATTATCCACGTGTAAGCCTGACTTTGCTCAACTTGATTTGACAGATGGAGGGACGATGAACAGCCCGAACCACCAAAGATTCCGACACCAAGACTGTTAACTTCGAATCCATTAGGAGCGATATCATCCTCTATAAGGGAAGGAGCGGAGGTCCCATGTGGTTCCGCTGGAAGCAATAAAGCACAGAGAATCTTCTCTGTATCCTTGAAGGATGCAAATTCGCGTACGAGAGCATCGATTCGAGAGCGTGCTTCGGGAGAGACTGTCTTCTCAAGGTTAGTTAGGATATAACCATAAAGAGTCCGAGTATCTTGCTCAGTGTGCATTTGCATCTGATAAGGTGACATAATCCAATGAGAGTAGATTTAAAAACCCAGCAAAAACAGGCATAGTAAACTGAACTTGCCTCTTATGAAGCCGACATCTAAATAAGCCAACAAGAGCGTTGAAATTTGTATTAACCCAAATTCGCTAAACTTTACAAGTGCAGTCAAACCCAAAGAATTTAAACAAATTTCAGCAATTCAATAAGGAGTCTGATATGGTAATTAAAAGAAAACTTAGATAGAGGTGATATAACTTTCAGTCGTGTTTATCCGTAAAAGTGGCGATCTAGCGATTTGGGCTATTTAGTGCCGCAAATCCACAGTATTAGAGCTAAGGAACTTGATATTTTGCTGAATAAGATTAAAAGTTGAAGCTAATAGCACAAATAGACGTGCCGTTTTGTAACGCAAAAAATAATTCGTATCTGAATGCAACGAAAATGTGCTTGGCGTAGTGGCGAAGCTTGACATGAACACACGCTGAAGAAGGTAAAAGCGAACCCTACTTTTCCCGGTAATTTGCGTTTTTTATGACGATTGTTGTGCAAATTGTCGCGGTACGTCTATACGTGGTTACAGTTTCCCTCACATTTCAATTTGAACCTTCCCGATTATAGAGAAAAAACGATCACCAACTTACTCCATAGAAAGCCATTAGAAAAACTGTTTAAACCCTAGAAACTTATCACATTCGCCGTATTTTGATGACTTTTCTTTTTATTGTACCGTTCCGACCTCGCTAGCCCTCAACTTCTGTGTCAAAGAATCTAATGATTGATCAAGGGAGCCGTTTAGAAATTGCACACCAGCATCGAATCAATAGGGTGCTCTAGACACAAAGACGCCTAAATAAACTGGTGCATAGATGTGCGCTTCTTTTTACCGTGGCTATCTCATGGACTGCTTACTTTATAGTTTTTCTAAGGAGAGGCGGCGCATTCAAAGTTCAGTTGTTTTATCGCTGTCAAAGCTCAAGTGCTGCATTTAGGCCTGCATGCGATAAAGATTTTGATCAGCGCGGATATTAAAGAGGATTAATTCCTTACAGTAGAATATAATGAGTCCAGCTCTCTGGAAGTTAATCTAACATAAGATGATAGCTTGCATTCTTGGTTTGAATATGCGAAAGCCAGTAGGTGCGCGTAAGTAAAAACACGAATTCTTCCCATTCTTTCTTTCGACCAAAATACGTATTTTAAATCACTGTGAATCGATACGAGTGTTCAATGGGTAAATATTGTGCAATATTCCTGATGACTTCGCCTACTCCAGGTTTCAATTCTCTGGATTGAGTTTGTTTTTTGGAGGAAGACATCGTACATTGCGTAGTATGGACACTTTATAAATGACTGATGTTTTGTGTGGTGCATCAGTATTTGTCTCCTTGGGGATCGAGGAGCTGGCCATGGACGCGGTTAGGGTAATCTGCCCGCTTTTTGCCTACAAGATGTACTCAAAACAGAACTCATTACAACTACATGGTATCCTTATTCTGGGAGCAGCTAATGTTTTGATCACTGCATACAGTTTCGGGTTGTAGCCCTCTTAACTTTTCCTGAAGGCGGAAGAAGACATAATACTAGGGCAGATTATGCATTGTCGACGTGCAGAAGGGCCGGTAATCTACTGGGATAGCACCACAGTTCATGCTGTCCGACAGAAGTACAATGGCGAAGCCTTCAGTGCTTGTGAAACCAAATAGAAGAGCTAAGCAAATAATCAAGGCACTACAGGGAGGTCCTGTTTTGTGTCCATCAATAAAAAAGGGAATGCATAGAGTCAACGTTTTGGGTCCTGGAGTATTCCACCTCGGCAAAATCCGTGAAATCATCCACCATTACTGGTCTGCACCAGTTTTCGCTCTGTAGTAGGTAAGAGGCTAAAAATATTGGTGTCGGCTCGCCTAGAGAAGCTGTTGATACATATCGGATGAAGTGAAACTCTTTGAATTCGCAGCAGTTAATGCAGGTTCGGCAGAGGCTACGAACATCTTGGGTGGTTAAAGGCAACCAGCACCTTTTGATCAGGGCGTCTCACATGTGTTCTTCCTGCATAATTACATTGTTCGTGTAGGTTTGGAAGAGCCATTTGCTAATAAGGTTGACAATGCTAGTCATTTGAATGCTTCGGTCTGATCTTAGCAAGCAAGAATTACACTTTTTACTCACACTTTTTGACGTTCAAGTTGTACCTGCTTAGTCGACTTATCCGATGATATTCCGTTTGGATTTGGTCTGTGCAGAACCTTTGACACGCTAGACCCATTCCATGGTCGGTACCCTGCAGATTTCTCTATTGATATCGGATAAGTTCGGTTAGAAAGGCGATGGTCACTTGATTTTAAGAGTCTAAAGTTCGTGTTGCAACGTAAACTCACCTGTAGTGTATGATAAAGTCGTCCCGTCTTTGTTTTTACGCCAACCAAGTCAGCGCTTGGTAATATGGCCCTATTATGAATTTTATTTGCAATCCTATAATGTCTTAAATTCCTGACTATTGTGAGGATGGTGAAAGGTTCACCCTGTGTAGCGTTTTTTTATCGCATTTACTTCTTGGGTTCGTTATCAGCGCAAGCAATGATGCGTTTCGAAAATGTAACAAAGTAAGCTTCTGAAAACCCAGGCTTGTCAGAATTGGCGCCAAATCATGGACTTGCTTTAATTCCTCAAAGACTTCGTTGTATTCCCTCTCCCATTTGTAAATTGTAGTAGTCTACCTTTCTGATAGCTCATATAATAAGCTTTTGACTGTGAAAAGCATACAGCTGTCAGGTGCAAAGTTCTATCCGTCTAGCTGGTACTGGGTATCTCCTAGTCTTTTACGAGCGATCGTCTGCCACTTTCGCCCGTTTACTAAAACACTGTGTTCTAGGCTTTTCACTGACCTGCTTCCAGCTTTTGCTCTCAGTGTAAGCGTTCTCGGGCTAACACTCGCTCATCCAACAAGATTCCTTGAAGTCTGTTTGCGAGATTGTGTCGGATATAAGATCAGCCGAGAACAGATTTGTGAGGTAGAGGGAAGGGTACGCGAATTACATGTTTGGATCTTTACTGTTAGAGGCAGGACCAAAAAGATCAGTCCTGGAGCATTGTAGTTTTCCGTTGAAGTTCACACCGCCTTTGAAAGTAGGGAGTTCTGTTTCTCCAGTTGACTTTCGGCTCAAAGCCTCCAAATCGAGAGGGCTGATTGATAAAGGACGTTACTGATATACTAAAAGTAGCAAAGTTTATAAGAAATTGGACCAAATCGCTCGTAGTCTGGAGGCGCTAGGTGAAATTACGAGGCTAATCGAAGCGACCGCTCTATACCTTGAAGGATGTTGTAAAACAAATATGTCACGGCCCGAATTCGACTCTAGCAATTTTATATTCTGCTGAACAATGACTTGAATTACCTTTAAACTTTCTGTGAAAATTTGCAAACATTTTTTGTAACTAATAAATAATTACATTATCTACTTACGTGGGCTTCCAAGATGTTCGACGAAACGAAATGAACTCGAGTGGCTGCATTTTTAAAAGGACACTGAATTACCGCAAATCATTTTAATGACATTGAAAACTTCGGAGGGCAAATTATTTGTTTCGAGAATCAGATTTCCAAATACATCGCTCCGAGACTTCTTTAAGAAAGGAGGGAAGCATGACACCTGTGCAGAATACGTAATACCGACGCAAGAAAGGGGGAAAGCTACTGGTATGGACCATAGGCCATGCCGCCGAGTGGAAGCACGATCGTGCAGTCTTAAAGGCCCGCAAAACCAAAACAAGAAGTTAAAAAAAAAAGAATCAGAGCATTCCATAGCATTCCTTCCCTCATTTTAATGTCATATCCGGCACCTTCTTGGTCAACGTCCCGCTTTGGCCATTACAACATATTCGACGCTGTAAGAAAAATACCCGCGAATCAACCGCGCCAATAATCGAATGTGCATGAAATTGAGGAGATACTTGATCTCCTCGTTACTAATCCTCTTAGCAATTCCGCTAGGTATGGAATGTCGACCTGTTTGGAAACTGCATTGTGCTGCCCAGCCATGTCCATTTACCTGAGTTCTATCCACTTGATAGAGAGGAGGGGGAGGTATCGAGTATCACCTAGTTGCCGCTGCGAGCTCCGTAACCAGATAGTTCACGTTTACTGTCGCTTCACTTGTTAATTACATTAAGGCAGAACACGAGACTGAAGTGGGTACCAAAAGTAAGGCGTCATTTTCAGCCCTTCTTTTAGGGGTCATCACATAATGTTTCATCAGCTGCATACGTCCTTCTCCCGTCACGTTAAGACCTAGCATTTAAAAACGGAAATCAGAGTAGTTGTCATTTAGGATGGGGTTTGCTTTCCAATGCCACCACCGTATCGCTCCGAGACTCCCCTAAGGCGTAAGAAGTCATAGCACTAGGACAGAAATTGTATTACACAAGTACAGATGGGCTGGGGGGCTACTGACACGCCCCAGAAGCTGCGCCGCCGAGAGGAGCCTTAAGTGCTCGTGAAGCAGAAACGAAGAATTGAGCAAACAATTAAAGTCATGCATAAATGGACCATCTTTTGAATGCATGCAAAATAGGGTTTCATATCATATGCATATTAGGCAGACATTTTAGTTTTACTGCTTTTTGCGCAAGAAAGGCTGTAGAAAAGTTGACCGTTTTCCTTTTACAATGTTTTAGGTATATTATGTTACGCTATGATGTGCTTGATTTCGTCATCACCAAGGCTCTTAATGTGTACCTTTTGTAATAAATCCAGTATAAATTTGTTTAGCAGTTGATGGGGCCCTGCATATAAGGTAAATCCAGAAACAAACACTTTTGTTTAATGTTGGATGAAAAATAAGAAGAGAGTATTGAGAACCGAAAAATAGTACTATCATGGCAAGCAACATTAAAGACTAAAACCCACGAGGTGAGAGTGTGATCCTGTAAGGGTATTTAGGGGTCTTTTCCTTTAAGACGTTGCAAGGTATAATCTTTAACGTACAGAAGGTCTGCAAAACCGATAGCATTGGTATCGAGATCAGAGTTCCGCAACACGGTCGTGGAAGTCTTTTGGTCTCTTACGAGGGACTTATCACTTTATGAGCGTTATCATGTAAATGGCCGCTTTAAAGTCGCATGCTGCTTGTGCGTGAAAGGAACAATGCAGATTTGATGGCGAAAGTCAGAATTCCAATCTTTTCAAGACATTGGTAATCGCAGTTACTGTGAGACACTTTATCCCCGCTACGATTGCTAGCGATTACAAAATTAAGGCAAACGATTTTGCTATTATGCTTCCACCGTTATAGGTGCAAACAAGTAAACTGATGGAGTTCGGTGTCTTCAATGAGCTTAACGAAAAAAATATTATGGAAACGTCCTATCACAATAAGTTTTCAGTTTCGACAAACTTGGTTTCATCATGTGTGCCATTGCTTCCTGCTCGTCACAACAGCCTCCTAGTCCCTCCTGCCTGGGATGCCTTACTATATCTTTAGAGAGACTTCGAACGCTAAAAAGTATCAGTTACTAGATCATTTTTAGATTTCATCGTGCTTCTCGTAAATTTGATATTGACAAATTACTCATTTGAAGATTTTGTAATTATAATTTGCACCCAATTAAGATTTCTACGATGTATCTTTAAAAGTGACCCACTGCCCATATGCCCTGA